TAAGGTTGTGTGTGGGCTTGGGCCGTGTGTGGCTAAGAGTGACTGAATCCACATGTGGCTGTCACACGCCATGTGCCTGAAGTCGACGTGGTGGTGTGCGTGTTAAGACGCTGTGCTTCCGTGATAATCAGCAAGCGGGCTGGGTGTGAGATGGTGGGTGCCAAAGAAGGACTGTCACAGTGTAGATATTTCACAGTAATTGACAGTGTGGGTGACAGGCTCTGATCCGCTGCGCATGGTCCGTGTTCCCTGGGTCTCCCCAGCACCTTGGGCAAGCCCTGGCATGCAGGAGGCCTCGGTCACCATCGGCTGATGCCCAGGCTATCACAGACATTGGGAGATACTCGGTGTGTCTGCCTGTGATTGGCTGTGGGCTGGAGTCTCGGTGTGCTGGGCATTGTGACCCACTGCCCTCGTCTCCAGCTGATTGTGCTCTGTCCCTAGAAACCCGGGATCCTGGGAGACTCTCCCCTAGGCACCCTCCAGTCTGGGGCCCAGCCGGCCAGCCCCCTCCTCGGGGAGCTGTCTGCAGGTAATGCAGACCCTGCTCCTTCCCATCTCTGTGGGCCCCACCCCACTTCCCCTTCCTGGGCCCCTTTCCTCACTGGGCGTGGTAAATTCCCAGCTGTGCAGCTTTGGGCAAGTGACCTAACCCCTCTGGGTCTCAGTGTCCTCGCCTGTCAGTTGAGTGTGTGGGTGCGCACCTCCCTGGGGAGCCATGAACATCTGGGAGTTGATGCACTTTGAGGGCCCTGCTCAGTGTCCAGCACATAGTCGCCCCCCGGCTGCTAGCCCTGGTCCAAGCGGAGGCTGTAGGACCCTGGGAGGAGGTGGCCTGTGTGGTCGGGCTGCTGACACCCTCCTCCTTCTCTCTGTAGGAGGGGGCCTGCCCCCGGAGCTGCCGTCCCGGCGAGGGAAGCCACCACCCCTGCTGCCGCCACTGCTTGGCCCCTCTGGGGGTGACCGGGAACCCATGGGCCTGGGTCCCCCAGCACCCCAACTCACTCCACCCCCTGCTCCTGTGGGGCTTCGAGGCACTGGTCTCAGAGGCCTGCAGAAGGACAGTGGGCCTTTGCCAACGGCCACTGGGGTAAGGCCCTGCCTGCACCCAGCACTATTGCAGCCCCCTGCCTTGCGAGGGCCCCCCTGCCAGGGGCCCTCGTGAACCCGGCCCTCCTGCCACAGGTCTCGCTGCTGGGGGAGCCTCCCAAGGACTTCCGGATCCCCCTGAATCCCTACCTGAACCTACACAGCCTGCTCCCAGCCAGCAATCTGGCGGGTAAGGAGGCCCGGGGCTGGGGAGGCGCTGGGAGAAGCCGCCGCCCAGCTGAGGGCCCCCTGCCTAACCCCCCAGCCCCTGGAGGTGGTGGCAGCAGCAAAGCTTTCCAGCTCAAGTCCCGCCTGCTCAGCCCCCTCACCAGCGCCCGCCTGCCCCCCGATCCAGGGCTGCCCGACAGCTATGGCTTCGACTACCCCTCAGTAAGTACCTGGCCGCCCTGGGGGCAGCCCTCCCAAAGGCCGGCTGCTGTGGCCCTTTGTCCCTTGGGAGCAAGTCACTCTCCAAACCGACATTTCTCTAGTACTGATTGTGACAGGCCAAGCGTTAGGGAGACAGCGGGGAACGTGCTGGACACAGTCCCTGCCCTTAAGTCTCTTGTCTGTTTGTCTCGGCGCATCATCAAACCCTGCTTCCTGTCAGTCAGTTTTTCTCTCCCGAGAGGCCTGCAGCCACACTTCTGCTTCTCCTTAGAGACAGGGCTCAGCCTCCGCTCTGTCTCTTTGTCCTTCTCCCCCTCCTCCCCTCTGTGATTCATGTCTCTGTCCCTGGAGAGCTGCTCTTTCTATGATTCCGACTTCCTCTAGGCCAGACGTTGCAGGCTGGCCACCTGTGTTGTGTTTGGCCCACAGTGGGTTTTTTAAAAAATAACCGAAACAAATGCCAGTGCCAACATAAAAAAACCACAGGAGTTCACACAACCTGGATGCCCTGCTTGCCTTGAGAACTCCAAAGCCCTGGCTCCATTGGGGCCACACACTCTCACAGCCCTCTGGGGTCCAGGTACAGTCACCCCCCTGGGACTGGGTACCTATTCTGTCTCATTGCCCCACCCTGCTGGCTGAGTTTGCCCCCATACACTAGAGTTTGCCCTCTCCTGGAGGGGGCTGACTTCCCCGGTGACAGCTGTGCCGTGGAATTGAATCAAGGGTGAGGTTGGTTACAGACCCCAACCCAACGTGCTTCTCCCACTTTCATTCAGGATGTGGGACCTCGGCGGCTCTTCTCCCACCCACGGGAGCCAACCCTCGGGCCTCATGGACTCAGCCGACACAAAGTAAGAGCTGCCCTGTCCATCCTACCTCCTGGGTGTATCAGTTAGCTTTTGCTGCATAACAAGCAATTCCACCATTTTGTGACTTAGAACAGCAAATATTTTATTATTTTTTCACCATTCTGTGGGGTGGTGGGTGGGCAGTTCTTTGCAGTCACCTGGCAGTTCAGCTGGGGCTCAGCAGTCCATGGTGGCTTCCTTCATATAACTGGCAGTCAGTAGGCTGGGGAAGAGCCTCGGCTATAGTGATTTATCTGCTCCACATGGAGCTTATCCTCCAGCAGGCCCCCCTGTGCTCATGCATGTGGTTCCCTGGAGGAGGGTTCCCCAGAGGAGGAAGGGAGGGCAGGCCCCTCTGCTGGCATTGTCACACCACTGTCATATTGTCCAAAGCCCAGAGTTGTTTGGGGGACAGAAGGGGTGATACTGCAATGATCCGTCTTACTCAGCCAGCCCCCTTTCTGCAGATGTCCCCCCCACCCAGTGGCTTTGGCGAGCGGGGTGGCGGAGGTGGCAGTGGGCCCCTCTCCCACTTCTATTCGGGCTCACCCACTTCCTACTTCACCAGCGGCCTGCAGGCTGGCCTCAAGCAGAGCCACCTTAACAAGGTGAGGAGCCTCCCTGACTGAGCACAGGTCCCCAGGGACAGCCAGGATGCACGGGGCCCTGTGACCTTCAGTGCCAAGGCCAGGGTGGTGGCAGGGGTCAGTTTTGCTCAGGGCCGAGCTGAAACAAGCCATTCTCCCTGAGCCTGTGTGTCTTGTACCCAGTATTGCCCAGGCTTCTTGGCCTCTCACTTCCTCCCCCGGCAGTCCAGGGTGTGGGTGGTATAGCCTCAATCCACAGATGAAGAAACTGAGGCCCAGAGAGATGAAGTAATCTGACCCCAGTCTCATAGCTAGTAAGTGGCAGCAGCAAGATTTGAACCTGAAACCCTTGCCTCTGCTCTGGGGGCTGCTTGCTTTCCCATCCCACATCTCTCCCATTTCTCCCAGGCGGTCGGCTCCTCCCCACTGGGCTCTGGAGAAGGGCTTCTGGGCCTCGGCCCTGGGCCCAATGGCCACAGCCACTTGCTGAAGGTACGGGCGAGGGGTGGGGACACTCGGCTGGGGAGTGGTGGCCCCTGGGTGGCCCCTGACCCGCCACCCCTTCCCCTCTGTCTCCAGACCCCACTGGGTGGCCAGAAACGCAGCTTCGCCCACCTGCTGCCCTCACCCGAGCCTAGCCCAGAAGGCAGCTATGTGGGCCAGCACTCCCAGGGCCTTGGAGGCCACTACGCAGATTCCTACCTGAAGCGCAAGAGGATTTTCTAAGGGGCCAGTGCTGGAGATGCTCAAGGGCCTGCACCAAATCGCTTTTGGGTTTTCTGGTGTTTTGTCTTGTGTTATTTTTCTTTTTTTTTTTTTCTTTTCGGTAACAGAAAAATTTCTGAAAGACTTTGCTGACCAACCAGCAGGAGCCCAAGGAATGTAGGGGCGTCTGGGAGCCACTCTGCACCTCTGGCCTGCTCCCAGTGTGGAAACCCTGCAGCCTTAAGAGGGAGAGGCCATGGCCTGCTCTCTCTCCCCACCCCTGTGTCCGCCTGTGTTCGTCTCTCTGGGAGTTCTCTCCTGCCTCGTCGCTCCTGTATCTTGGCCTTTCGAGTGCCTTGGAGGTTTCCCTGACCTCCCGTGAGGATCAGAGACTGTCCCCCTTTTTTAACTTTGACAGCTGACTTTGGTTTCCTTTTCTAATTTTTATTATTTTTTAAACAATCCAGGACGACCCCCAGCTCTGATTCCTTCAAGGCCCAGCGTGTCTGGGCCTCCATTCCACACTTTTCGGTTTGAGATGGCTCAGCCCTTTTTTCTGTTTCCCACAACTGCTGCAGGCATGGCTGTCTCCTGCCCCTGCCTGCCCTCTCTGAGCTGTACTCCAGGTCCGGGTCCCCCGCCCCCTACCACAGCCCCCTCGCCTTCTGATGCCTTAAAAGCCAGGCTCCAGGCCCCAGGCCCCGCTGGCCAGAGCCTCTCAGATGCTGAGCTCCGGAAGCTTGACTCAGGACCAAATGGCTCTGGCCTGGGGATTGGGCCCCTCTACCCGCAGTCCCCCATCGTGGGGACAGTAGAAGGCCAAAGCCTTGGTCTTGGCAAACCAGTCCCACCAGCCCTCCTGCTCAGGCTTAGGTGCAGGGATGGGCTTTCTCTGCCAGCTTAAATTGGTCCCCCTGCTGTCTGTCTGTCAGGCATTGTGCATCTCACTGAGCCTCTGCTGTCTCCTCCATGTTGAAGATGAGCTCTGCCTCTTCATCCCCAGGCCAGATCACCCGGAGCTGGCCTCCCTTTGGCCCAGTGTTAGAAAATTCAACAACATGCCAATAAGCTCTGCCCCTGCCCACCAGCAGGACATGTCAGCCTGAGGTGATCCTGGGCCCTGGTCCTGGCCGGCTGGGCCACCAGCTTCCCTCCCCTGACTCTGGGGGTCCACATCCACTCCGGGCCGGGGGGGTGTCCTCTCCCCAGTCTTCTCACACAGACCTTTGCTGAATTAAAGTTTGTAAGTAAATGGTTTTAAAGAAAGCAGACCTGGCTGGTTCTTGGGATAACAGTGGGCCTGGTGGGAGGTCTGGGAAAGCCCTGCAGGTCTTGGTGCAGCCGAGCCTGCCCGGCTCCTCACTCTGGCAAGCCTCCTCCTGGACTCACTTCTGTCGCACGCCCCCACGCAAAAATGTCGGCGCTTATGTTCGGGCAATTACGGGCCCATCTCTCTCGCGTGCGCCACGGCGCATACTTAGTCTCTGGGTCACATGATGCCTGTCATGGCCGCCTCCGTGGCATGGGGAGGCGTGAATGCTGGGTTCCTGCTGCGGGCGGCCAGGGGTGCCTGGTGGTGCCGACCCGGGGGCTTTTGGGGGTCCGGGGAGGCGGCGGCGGCGCCTGCGACAGCCAAGAAGTTCCGGGCGACAGGTACCTGGGGCGCTCCGGACGGGCAGCGTTAACCTATTGGACGCCGGCCGGGCGCGGCATGGCTGCTCACCCAACCGTGTTTTCTAGGCTCGCGCCCGGCGGGAGAGGAAGAAGCCGGCGGCCCCGAGCGGCCCGGGGACGTGTGAGTGTGGGGGCCAGGTCCCCCATTACTAATTTCACGAGGTTTCTCCGGTCCTCACCTAGCCCTACAGCCTCATCCCTGGGTCCCCCTTCTGTATCACCCTAATCCCCAGTCCATCAAGCCCCAAACGCGACTCCCTAATCCTAGATTACACCTGGTCCCTGTGCCCATCATCCAGTTCGTCATCTGCACCCCGATCTGTCCTCAGGGTGAACGTGGTGTTCGTAGACCGGTCAGGCCAACGGATTCCGGTGAGCGGCAGAGTCGGGGACAATGTTCTCTACCTGGCCCAGCGCCATGGGGTGGATCTGGAAGGTGGGAGCCGGGCACAGGGAACTGGGGAGGCCCGTATTCATTCGTTAAAAAAACCCCATAAGTCAGATATGATTCTCCACTACTTAACCCTGCATGGCTTCCCACCAAACATGGGTAAACTTCAGACTCCGCACCACAGTCTCATTCCCTGCCTCTTAACCTTCATTCATTCAGCAGTTATTTATTGAGCATTTGCTAGAGGTTACTAAAACTCCTGCCCTCCAGGAGCTTGTATTCTCTTCCTTTTTCCTCCCTCTCTTCTAGCCACACTGGCTTTCTTGCTCTTCTTCAAACAGCCCAGTTCATGCCTGCCTCAAGGCCTTCGCATTTGCCGTTCCATCAGAAGTGCTTTCCCACCAGATCTTCTGGCTCCTTCTCATCCTTCAGGTCCCGATGTAAATGTCATCTTCCTGACAGTCTTGTCCCCCTTGGTCCAACTAAAGTCCCCATGCCCCGATAACTGTCATCTCAGTGTGTTTTATTCTCTGCGTAGCACTTCTCATTGTTTTGTTTCCTTCTTTGTCATCTCTCCCCAGAATCAGATCAGAAACACTGTTTGCCTTGTTCACACTTATTTGTTGCCTGTCATGGTATTTAGATGTAACAGGTATTAAATCAGTATTTGTTAGAGGAAATACAATAATAGCAGACATTACTTTAAGCCTGTTAACACATATTAACTGATTGAATCTATTCCATGAAAACTTTATGCAGGAGGGGAGAATATTATCCTATCTTATAGGTGAGGAAACTGAGCCTTAGGTTGAGCAGACCTGGTCCAAGTTCAAGTAAGTGGCAAAACTAGATTCAAGCAAACCCAGCCTATTTTAGCCACTAATCTGTGCTGCTCTTCTGTGACTATTGAACACTTACTGTGTGCCAGGTAGCAATGTAAAAAACAGATAAGGCCCGTGTCATTTCACACCAATTTCAACCTAATAGGGACAATAATCCCATGCATAAACATGTAATTATATCATGAGCAACTGGGAAGAGCAGTCTTTTAAAAAGTGTACAGGGGGCTTCCCTGGTGGCGCAGTGGTTGGGGGTCCGCCTGCCGATGCAGGGGACGGGGGTTCGTGCCCCGGTCTGGGAGGATCCCACATGCCGCGGAGCGGCTGGGCCCGTGAGCCATGGCCGCTGGGCCTGCGCGTCCGGAGCCTGTGCTCCGCAACGGGAGAGGCCACAACAGTGAGAAGCCCGAGTACCGCAAAAGCAAAAGCAAAAACAAAAACAAAAACAAACAAACAAAAAGTGTACAGGGTTAGCTGTTGGGTATATGTAATAGGGAGCTGATTTAATCATTAGACGGGGAGAGTGGTAGGAATGTGTGTGTGGGGCGTGGGGGTCATAGCAAACCTACCTAAAGTTCTGTTCTGGAATCCAGTGATTGGCAGTTCATGACAGAGATTAGAACATGAATTTTCAAGGCAAGTGGGCTGTGTTCAGATTTTGCTGTTGCCAACTGTGTGACCGTGAGCAAGGTCCTTAGCATCTCTCGGCCTCATCTATAAAATGGGATAATTTAGTTCCTATCTCACCAGATTGCTGTGAGGATTAAACAGATCTCATGTGTAGTGTGTAGTACCTGGCATATAGTTGGTGTGCAGTGAGTAGTTGGGACGATTACATTAGATAATCTGTCTCATGGGGTAAGGACGCTAACGAGTTGGGAAAGAGGGCTGAGGAAGAGATGCCTGGGAACTACTGGCAGTTTTGAGGCCCAGACAGTTTCTTCCCCAGAGACTGGAAGGGTGGGCAAATTAGTCACCGTAGCCCACAGGGATGGTCTGCTGGTTCAGGAGGCTGCCTTGCAGCACCACCCTTATTGTCCGACATGTCCGGAAGAGAAAAGAGAATTCTGTCCCGTTCACTTATAACAAGCATCTCTGGAGCATCTACAACCTGCCAGGCTCAGTGCTGAGTACAGAGAGAAGAGGGCAGGTTGACAGAGCACAGGTAAACCCAGAAATTATGATGGTAATTTCACACTGTGATAAATACTGTCCAGAAATTATTTAAGAGATAACAAGGGTCAGGGGAAGGACAAGAAATGGGGCACTTGGAGGACAGCTGAGTCCCCAAAGACAACAAGGACGTAGCCATGGAAGGAGTGGAGAGAAGAGCATTCCAGATCAAGAGTATGGAAGATGCAGAGGTCCGGTGGTGGGGATGAGCTTGGCATGGAGGAGTTGAGTGAGGGGGCCGGTGTGGCTGAAGTGGGTGAGTGCGGGGGTGGGAGCATCTCAAGGACTGAGTGGAGGGGTTTGGGTTTTATTCTGTCTATAAAAACCCTTTGGGGGAAAAAAAAAAAAAAAACCTTTGGAAGGCTTTAGGCCAGGAGGAACATTATTTCGGAGCACAGTTCCCAGTGATCAATCAGAAGGTTGGGAATGTGTCCAGGGGCAAGCAGGAAATCCCAGACTCCCCATCTTCCAACCCTTATTCCCTAACCCCTTCCCCTGCTGCAGCATTAGATGCTGAGTGAGCCGGTCCCTCCTTCAGCAGCAGCAGGGAAGCCCAGCACAGTGGCAGGGTCGCAGCAAGGGCCCACAGGCTACAGGAAACCTGCCTGGCCTGTCCCCTCTCAGCTACACTGAAGTCAGGTCCACGCTCATTAACGATTCCAGGTATCCAGCCTGGTCCTCAGCCTGCTGGGGAGTTTGGGGGAAACCCCGGGCGTCCTTTTGCAAAAACTATGTGCAGGTCAGGAACAGCCAGCTAAGTCAATGACAGGGTGGGTGGAGGGTGCCCACAGTGGGCGTGCAGGCCCGGGAGGGAGAAATGAGGGTCGAGTGGTGAAACGAAGGGATTCTTGGGAATTCCCTGGTGGTCCAGCGGTTAAGACTTGGCTCTCACTGCCGTGGACCTGGGTTTGATCCCTGGTCGGGGAAATAAGATCCCCAATCCATGTGGTGTGGCCAAAAAAAAAAAAATAATAATAATAATAATAAAGAAACAAAGGGATTCTCCTTTATGTCCTTCACTGAATGGCACCTGCCTGACCACTCCCCTTACCAATGCTCCCTCACTTGCTGTCCCCAGGAGCCTGTGAAGCCTCCCTGGCGTGCTCCACCTGCCACGTGTATGTGAGCGAGGACCACCTGGACCTTCTGCCTCCTCCTGACGAGAGGTGAGCAGGGGGGCCCCTCCCAGCTCTGAGCTGCAGGGCTTGGTTGCTGAGCCTTGGCGTTCCGGGTGTCCAGAGTTCCACCCCGTCAGCAGCAGAGGGCAGCCCCAGCTTTTCTCCCTGCTCCTGCTGCTGGCAGGAGAGCTTCCTTTCTGGCCACTCCCCCAGACCCATTAATAATCGCTGCCCCCCTTGCTCCAGGGAGGACGACATGCTGGACATGGCCCCCCTCCTCCAAGAGAACTCCCGGCTGGGCTGCCAGATTGTGCTGACACCTGAGCTGGAAGGGGCTGAATTCACCCTGCCCAAGATCACCAGGAACTTCTACGTGGACGGCCACGTCCCCAAGCCCCACTGACTCAGGCAGCTGGATGGTCCCAGACACTCACGGCCCCAGGGCCAGGACTGGAGGAATAGCCAAGTTGCCAGCCCCGCCCAGAGCACGGGACAGGCCCGGGAGAGATGGCGGAAGCAACCGGAAGGCCAGAACGCGTGCTTCAGAGAGATCCCGCGTCCAGGCTCTGGTGGGGACAGGGCCCCTGTTGGGTCAGCCTCCCCCAAACCCCTGAAAATGGGGGTGTGGATAGGGGTGGAACCTAATCGGAGAGATAATAAAACCGGCTCACAGACTTCCGGCATCTTGAGTGTCCTTGCGGGGGGTGCGGGTGGGAGTACAGGCCCTGGGGTCTACAACTGCAACTTCCAGGCCTCCAGCTTTCCCCTCCCACGGTGGTGATGGGCCAGCGGGAAACTGAGAAAGAGGCCTCATAGGGCCCGCGAGTCTGAGGATCAGCGTGGCAAGGCCCCGCCCCTCAGCCGCGGAAGGATTTGGAGGGGTCCAGGCTGCTCTTGGCCGAAAGGGGTGATCAGGCCACCTAAGCAGGGTCGGAAGGGAGAGAGGACGGAGGCTGGCCTGAGGGTGGAGGCTTCGAAGCCCGTGCCCAATATCGCAGGTCAGAGGCGCCCGATCCCACTGGCCCCGCCCCCCTCAGGTGGAGCTCCTTGCACCCAGGGCCAGAAGCGCCCCCGCCCCAAGCAGGTGGGGCTCATCGGGTGGGCCTGGCGTGGGCGGGGCCGGGCGAGATTTGGGAAGTGGGTAAGGGCTGGGGCACAATGGAGGCCGAGCCAGCCCCGGACTTGTCGATGCTTCGAGAGCTGCTGGCGCCGCCCTGTCTGGACCCCGAACCGCCCCCGGAACTCGCCACCCAGCAGGCACCAAAGACCCCAGGATGCCTCAGACCCAGTGGCAGGTGCGTTAAGGAGCGGCCCTTCCCCCAACCTGGCCCAGTGGTCAAGGGATCATGACCTCTGGTTCCTGGGGTTACTCAGGGGTCAAAATGTTAGTTCCTGGTACTTACAAGGAAGAGGTCCCGGTCCCCAGGGATACTTGGAGTCATATGGGGGTCAGAGGCTATACAGTTCTTCTTGCCCCCTGTGCCTGAGACTCATGTAGGTACCGCCCAGGGAGTGGGGTGACCGCACTGCCCCTTGTCCCCAGGTCCTTCTGGCCTGCACACCAGGACTCGGTCACCGCCCTTCACTTCCTCCAAGAGACAGCAGAGGGGCTGGCCCAGCCCGCCACCTGGGACACTCAGGCCCTAGGGCCCTGCTGGGAGCCGAAGGCCCTGGAGACTCTGGGAGCCCTACCTCCGGCCAAGGATACCAAGAACATGCTGACCCCAGTCAGCCAGCAGAGCCGCAGCCTGGGGCCCCGAGTGGCTCCCCCGGCCTCTTCAGCCCAGCCACAGAGGAGACCCCGGAAGCAGTCGAACCCCCAGCGGGGTGCCGAGAAAGTGGACCCCCAGTTCGAGGGGGTGACCCTGAAGTTTCAGATAAAGCCAGATTCCAGCCTACAGATCATACCCACCTACAGGTAGGGGCTGGCCTGAGCAAGGGCACCCTTTATGCAAGTAACAGTGGTAACAGTGCAGAGGCCCGGGGGCAGGTGCTCCCAGGAATGCCGTCATGGACTCCCACCTCAGCCCTGCCTTACAAATGGCCCCATCTCTGAGCGAGACCTCAGGCTGGTGTCAGTCCCTGTCCCTGCTGCTATGAGCCAGTCACATCCAGGTCTGAGCCTGGGTCTCTTCTTAAGAGGCCTGACCATACCCGGAGCTGCTGCTTCTGTTAGTTTTTCCAGCAATGATAATAGCTACCGTTTGTCAGACATGACAACAGTCATAGAGGTAACAGGTAGCACTTGGTGTGTATGGGCTCGCTGAACCCCGTGAGGCCCACTTTACAGATGCAGAAACTAAGGCGCAGAGGATGAGATCTCTTGTCCTTGGTCACACGGCAAAGAGGTGGGAGAGCTGAGCTTTCAACCTGGCAGGCTGGGGAATTCCCTGGCAGTCCAGTGGTTAAGACGTGGACTTTCACTGCCGTGGGCCGGGGTTCCATCCACAGTCGGGGAACTAAATTCCCACAAGCCGCTGGTTGCAGCAAAAAAAAAAAATAGCAAAACAAAACAAAAACAAACCTGGCAGGCTGGCCCCAGGCTTAGTGTCTTTTCAAATGGTTATGTCTGTGATATTAATGAGGTGCAAGGCCAGGACTTTCAGACATCAGATGCCTCCTTGGGGGTTGCCTGATCGTAAATCTTCAATTGGGGGCTATCTGGGACAGCATACAGACAGACCCTCGGTGCTAACACCTTGTCTACTCCCCAGCCTGGCCTGCAGCACCCGCTCTCAGGGTCCCCCACCAGGCCCTGCCAGAGTCCCAGAGGCCAACGCAAGAGGCAGCGAGGCTCTGGGTGAGTCTTGGAGACTTGAGAGCTATAAATACTTGGGGGGGGGGTACAGTTTCATTTCTTCCTTGTCTTTCTCCCCATCCCGCTTCCCTATTTAGACCCATCCAGGAGTCTCAGCACTCAGCATCCCCCTCCACTCAGGCTGAGTCACCCACGCCCCCGGCTTCTTCCTCTGCTGAGCTTTGCCATCTGTCTCCCTTCTTGGCTTTCCCTCTGTCTTAGATCTGGCAACACCGGGGCTGGCCCGGAGCTGGGTGGGGCCTTCACAGAGACCCCACCCCCCCAAAATGCCCATCCCACACAGGCCTCCTGAGCTCGGACTCTTGGCCTCTGACCCTTGCCCTTTGGCCTCTTCCCTTTCAGGGCCCCGACGCTGTGCTTCCTGTAGGACCCAGAGGACCCCACTCTGGAGAGATGCCGAAGATGGGACCCCCCTCTGCAACGCCTGTGGTATCAGGTCCTCAGAATGGAGGAGGGATTTGGGGTGGGGTCTTCGCATCAGTCCATGCTTAGCCGGTGTGGGGTTTGCGGAAGAGGAAACACCCACCTCTTGGGGAACGGGGCTCACCCGTGGTGATTTCTGGGCCCCTGCTGAATGTTGGTTTCTTGCACTCCCATCCCAGGTACAAGAAATATGGTACCCGGTGCTCCAGCTGCTGGCTGGTGCCCAGGAAAAGTGTCCAGCCCAAGAGGCTGTGTGGCAGATGTGGGGTGTTGCTGGGTCCCCACCCAGTCCCAACTCAGGAAGGGTAAGCCTTTCCTCATCCAGCCGAGCCTGTCCTGCCTCAGTTTCTCCAGGGGAAGAATGGGCTGAAGGCCTCCTAGGGGAAAGAACTTGGGTCTTGAGGGGTGCAGCCTGCCTCCTCTCTGCCCCCTCCCCATTCAGAGACACCAGGTGGAAGACCCAGGCCTCAGGCCCCAGAGCTCCTGGCTCACGGGGTCACTGGCCCCCTCCTTGGCCCCTGCTTCAGCCAGGCTTGGCTGAGAACCTCACCCCCTCAGGAAATGCTTGTGGCTGTGAAACTCATATTGTTAATAACAGTGACAATAAAGAGCAGAACTCCTCAGATAAAGGGCACTGTGACTTTGGGATCCCACCTTGCGCGCTCTCCCCCGCCTCTCCCCTGGCCCAGGAATGTGGGGAAGGGGTTTTCTCGGTGGGGTTCTGAGGGACACACACAGTCGTGTAGACAGGCACCACCTGGGAATTAGCCCCATTCATTACAGCACCCCATACAGGGCGACAGCCACCACATGCAGAGACAGACAACACGTTCAGAAAGATACACACAGTGGGACATCCCCGGGGGTCCAGTGGTTAAGACTCCCCGCTTCCACTGTAGGGGGCACAGGTTCAGTCCCTGGTCAGGGAACTAAGATCCCACATGCCTTGCGGCACGGCCAGAGACGCATCAGCAGACACATATGTGCGACAATCACGAGACACACAGACCACACACAAGACAGCAAGACATTGACAGACGCACATCCACCAATAGACACACGTGTTGATGTACACACAGGACACATACACATGCACGATACAGACACACATGAAAGAAACATAGGTGGCACAAGTTGGCCCACGGTGATACACACACAAGTGGGCCCTGTATCTGGCAGCTCCACCCTTGCCTAGAGAATGTCTCCGTCCTGCATCCTTTCACACACCAGTCCCTACTGTGTCCCCTCCTCCCTTTCAAGATCTCTCTAACCCCACCAAAGTGTGTCCCCAACCTGAAGCCAAAAGCCACATGGGACACACTGAGCTCTACCCCTGTTGCCAGGACACACAGGCCACCACTACTCACTGGGAGGGAGGGAGGGAGGAGGGGGGCATCAAGGATGGGTGAGATGCAGAGTGGGCAGGGGTGGTCCCTGCTGTGAGGGGTGAGTGAGGCCTGCAGGTCCACTGGCCCTGGGAAGGCGAGCCCCTCTGAGACCCCCTTTGACTCTCCTGAGTGAGCCTGTGGGGAAGGCTTGGGTCCAGATTCCTCAGCCCTCGGATCCCTGACTCATTCAGTACCCCGCTTGCTTGGCTCAAAACACCCTCCCCCAGGTCTCCCGTAGCTGCTGCCTTTCGCATCACTGGAGTGGGGGTGGGCTCTGCCCCAACACCACATCTTCAGAGACCCCTTCCTTGACCCCCCCCAGCCTAAAATGGACACCCCCCCTCCCACCCCACGTCAGGCTCTAGTTCAGCTCTTTGCTCATCTCTCTCTTAGAACCTACCAGAAGTTTCACCTCGCTACTGGTCCAGGGTTATTTCATTCACATTCATCTCCCCTACTGGACCATGACTTCAGAGGTCCAAGGTCACCACCTCTCTGTTCTTGACCGTGATATGCCCCACCACCACCACCACCAGTGCCCAGCATGGAGAAGCTCTTCGGGGAGAGACACAGCACACGAGGGTCTCAGACTGTGTGTCTACAAACCCCTGGCTGTTTTTATCGACGTAGTCAACATTTATTGACCAACTACTGTGTGCCAGGTCCCGATGAGGCACTCAGTTATGAATGGAACAGAGATCCCTAGCAAAGCCAATATTCGAGAGTGACAGTAAACAGGTATTCAGTAAGTATCTAATAGAATGTCAAGTAGTGATCATGCTACAGAGAAAATAAAGTATGTAAGGAAGTGAGGAGTTGGGCTGCTACCGCGTTCTCAGGGAAAGCCTCTCTGAGCAGGTGTGACCTTTGTGTAGAGACCTGACAGTAAGGAACTAGCTGGGAATTCCCTGGTGGTCCAGGGGTTAGGAATCTGCGCTTCCACTGTGGGGGGCACGGGTTCGATCCCTGGTCAGGGAACTAAGATCCCACATGCTGGCAGTGCGGCCAGAAGAAACAAAGGAACTATTTGAAATGAGGACACCTGG